GGCAGATAAAAGCTTAACGAAAGAAACATCAAGAAAGGTACCGTGGTCATTGGAATGTCTGAATGATTTTTTGGATTTGGCAAATTCGAATTCTTATTCTACATAATATTTGGGATTTTTCTCTACAACAAAATAGATTACAAATACAAATGCCTGGAATGCTTTACCGCCTGGACTATGTTACACTATAAGCATACAAGATAAGATTCGTCGACAACATAATTTTGAATTGAACTGAAAAAAACCTAACGCATTAACTTATCCGTCTCTATATAAAGAAGTAGACAACTCGGCTTCCATCAATATAAAATTTTAAAAGGCGCTTAGAAAAAGGGAATGGAATAATTAAAAAAAATTACCTCGTGGGTTTTTTTGTTTCAAAAATGACAATACTTTTCATGCAGAATAACTTGTATTACATGACAATACAGTGAGTTTTAACAACTAGTTGTCGGTTTCAAAACATATGAAGACTGCACAAGTTTGCAACAATGATCCAAGACTACTAAATGTTAGGTTAGGTTTATGTTAATGGAAAATTTTAACAGAAATTTGTAAATATTTGCACAGTCGTCGTTGGTGTTTGTATTGGATACAAATTGACTTGCGTTGCGAATCTCTGGTTTCTTTCTTCTTGTTACAAATATGCCAATAAGTATTTTTCTGGAGAAGAACTGGTTTGACAAGACTTCTCACAGCAAGCTTCGATAAACAGTTATTATAATGCAGAAAAATAACAGGGTGATAAAGTATAATAGAAGCAGATGACGAGAGGCAAGCTATATTAAAAGAAATTCATCAAATTATACCCCCATCTACTTTGAACAGGAATTTTTTTCATTATACATTAAAACTAGTTCTAATGGGTCACAATTAGAATAGGAATAGTAATAATATTTAAAAATAGATATTTAATCTATTAATAATTAAAGGTAATAATTGTTGCACAGCAAAATTCTAGCTTGTAACACAAATGGTAAATGTTACTAATATTTCCTAATTTTCCAAATTTTATATAGTATAATTTGCAGATAAGTTTGTAAGTATCCAATTTGTTAAAAACATGAGATATTTCTGTGCTATTACAAATTGTGTGTACAAAAGTTACAAGTAAAAACCTGTAATTTTGTTTGATTTCCTAATAATATAATTGAATTTATCAAATTAATTCAATTAATTTTCTACCACCCTTATCTTTTTTACAATAATTTTATATGTATAGGAAAAAATATTAATGACGAAGTTTTAGAAAACTTTCTTGCGATTTTAAACAATATGAAGCGTGTAAATAAATAAGTGCTAAATAATTCAGGGGGTGATTCCCTGTGGAAAAAAGGTGGGTCTTTCATACAAAAAAAAATAAAAAATTCTGTGAAATACCAAAAAAGTGACAGAAATGAAGAAATTAAGCAGATATTTTCTACTATCGAGAAGGCACTCAGTAAACGATTTGTTGATTTTCCCCTACTCTTGTATAAGGGGTAGAAAAATCCACCCTTAAAACCTATTTCATACGTAACTTTTTTCTTATTACTATCTTAACATTTAAACATTCACTTCAAATAGCCTGACTCATTCTAAACAAAAAAGGTTCGTGTAGTTTTTTCGTAAAATTAACGATTTTTGAAAATTAATTACGCGGCATGATTAGGGTAGAAATTTTATCGAAGTATAATTTATCTAATAAGTGACATTTTGTAATGGCAACTTACAGATATCTTTTCAAGATATTCAAGATATCATTTCTTTTTTTTGTTGGAAAAAACTTCTTCTACGAGGTAGTATTTTTTACTTTTCTCTGTCTTGATCCCAGTCCAAAATATTAAAGAATTTCGAAAATCAAAATGTTCTTCACAATTTTTTTGGACCTTGGGAAATTAATAGACCAGTGAACTTTTTCTTATATTAATCTGTATACTTCGAAGAACTTATATAAAAAGATTTGGGTTAAGATACAAACGTTGTAATCGTGTAATTGTGGGAACCTATTAATACCTCCAGTTTGTTCTGATTTCTTGAAGACATTCTGCTAAACAACCTAACCTACCAGTACAGAACAACTTTTATAAATTGTTAGCTACACTTGTATTTTTGTACAATTGTACAAATCCTTTGCCAGGTGAGTCTAATATGTAATTGTACGTATACAGAGTGGAAATTTTAACTGGAACTAATTCTGTAAATTAGTAAATAAAGGTTGTCGCAAATTTCCCGAAACCCGTCAATTTTTATTTTCAATGGGACAATTACAAAGAGAACTTTTTTTAATGGAAGGGTAGGTTGATAATTTTTTTCAATTGTAAATACAATTAAGTATTTTTTTGTTACTTTTTATAAGCAATGTGTCAGGAAAAAAATAAGGAAATGTTTACTGAAACTTCTTTAATGTACTTATACTTTTTTTTTCTTTCTTGATAAGTCACAATAAAAGTTTCATACCTTATCATCTGCTCGATAGTTTTTTTGGCCAATTTGAACTGAATGTGATTGTTTTGTTAGTAGATACTTGTTTATATTTCAATGTGAAAATTAAAAACCAAAAATATCGTATAGAAAATTTAATGATGATCGGATATGGAGAAAGTCGAGAAGCTGAAATCATTCGTTTGTTTGCTGAAGTTCATCCAGAAATGCCTCCAATTAATCGAAGTACGATTAGCAAAATAGAAGCTCGATATTGGCCTTTAAAAATCGAAGAAGAAACCCGGTTGAACATGTTGCTGAAAGCTGAAGAAAATCCTGTTACTCCAGCTAGACAAATAGCTCGCGTTCAGGGTGTCAGTCACACAAACGTTTTAAAAATGCTGAAAGACGCCAGAAAGCATTATTATTTGAAAAAAAAAACAGAAATTTTGGAAATCCGATTTTGTTTCATTTCAGCCTTGTTTGAGGTGATATTGAAAAAAGAAGAACACTTTCTCATGGTCACTTTTTGCCCTCTATCGAATGGCATAATCAATTTTATATGTAACTTTTTAGGTACGACCCTAGAAATTTTATTACATTTTTTGCAAGCCTTCATGACCCCCAATACTGTACTGCCGTACTGCCCCAGCCTGAACCAGATTCCGACGTTTTGTCTCCAAAACTTCATCTTCAGTGAATTCGTTCCAAATTTATTAAAATTTTTTGTTTAGATTTCTTTGTTTATTGAATTATTGAAAGTTGATGATGGTCCTGGAGAGACGAAACGTTACATATAAAAATTGATTATGCCATTCGATAGAGGGCAAACAGTGGCCATGAGAAAGTGTTGTTCTTTTTTCAATATCACCTCAAACAAGGCTGAAATGAAACAAAAACGTATTTCCAAAATTTCTGTTTTTTTCAAATATTTCGAAAACTAATCATGTTAGCTTTGATTTTTTAGAGGCATAATGTTGGTCCCCTGATTATGCAACTTCTATCTATCTTTTACCGTTTCCGAGATCCCTGTAGTGAGAAGCGAATTTGTAACAGCCTGTATACGTATTACGACACATATAGTCCGATCAAATTAGACCAAAAAATAAGAATGAAGGTACATAAATTTACAACAAGCTGAAAGTGAGTAAGTAAAATTGTTTAAAACATAGTTAAAAATAACATATTAAAATTCCTCATCGTTCCAGTACTCGGAAAAAAATTTAGTCGGGGTCAAAAGTCAAATAAATGGTTTTTTGCGATTTTCAGGTAAACAGTAAGTTTTATCATAAAATTACCTCTAACAAAAATTTTAGAACTTAAAAATATCTATGAAAAATATATCAATACTTTTTTTCCTAAGAGCCACCGTTTCTGAGATATAATGATTCAAAAAGTTGTAAAAGTTGTAATCGTCATAATATGCATACGTCACGTATATCTCTGAAGCTGTAATATAAGAAAAAATATTTTTCCATCGGTGATTGTAACTTACACTTAAAATATAAATATACATAAGTATAACTATGAGAATATCACTTCGCTTTCTTCTTTCTATGTACGGAGCTCCTAAAAAACTACCTGCTTAGATAAGTATCGACATGCATGTTTCGTTAAAAACACTCGAAATAAAAAAGAAGTGCAATTAGCTTGTCTTCCTCCAACCTCAGTTGCTTGGTTATCAGCTAGACCCAAAAGACTGGGGTTGGAAGTTGGTCGACAACATTAGAACCAATTCAGACTTTACTCCTACCTGCGCCGTAAAAACTGCTAAACACAATTTTTTGCAACTGTAAAAAGAGATGCAGTGCTAAATGTGGTTGGAAACAAGTTGGATTGTTTTGTTCTCTGGCATGTACAAATTGTCAAGGCCGGTCGTGTTCTAATGTTGAACCACCAACAGTAGAGGATTCGTTTGATACCAACGAGGAGACATCACTATTGACGTAATTTACTTACACCCAGAATGAAGAAGAAGTAGAAGAAGAAGAATCAAGAAGAAGAGCAAGAAGGAGTATTTGAATGTTATGAATCAGACGAATAAATTTCTCTACTTTTTTGTTAATTTCCATCGCTTTTATCATTTCCAACCCTTGCTAATATCTGTTATTATGCAATAGTTTCAAACTAAACAGAATCACAACAGACCAGTGGAATACGCCTACTGGGGAAACCACGTTAAAAAAAACGCGCTAAGTACACTACCTCATAGGTGGCGTGGAAACGTGTGCATACGAGTATTATGACAATTACAACTTTTTGAATCGTTATATCTCAGAAATGGTGGCTCTTAGGGAAGTGTTTATACATTTTTTATAGATAATTTATTATCTACAATTTTTGTCAGAGGTAATTTTATGATAAAACTTACCGTTTAGCTGAAAATCGTGAAAAACCCATTTTTTTGACCTTTGACCTCGAGTAAATTTTTTTCCGAGTACCGGAACGACGACAAATTTTAATATGTTATTTTTAATTATGTTTTGAACAACTTTACTCACTTTCAGCTTATTGTAAATTTATGTATCTTTGAATGTCTAGATTCACCGGACTAATAACAATGATTGAACATTAATCGGCTGATTGAGTGCAATTACCTTTATATTCCGGGTTGTAGGGTGGATGGCAGTCAGCCACCGTGCCTATACTAGTAGCGGTGGTGGTCGACGGTATGGCCGTCGCCGTGGTCATCTTCCTGGCCACCGAGGAGGGCGAGTTGGAGCATTGCGAGGAAGCCGAAGAGTCGCAATCGAGGCTGCGCTCCATAGCCGGTATCAGCGGCGGGCTCTTCTGCGCGATACGCATCAAATCCTCGGCGCTGGTGGCGCTCCTCAGCATGGCCTCGTCCTGGGCCTGGGCCCTCCGGAGCGCCGTCTGCATGGCCATCACCCTCTGGCGCTCGGAGGTCAATCGACATTTCTCGCACTTGCACGTGCGGTACATGCAGTAGCGCTTGTGGCCCTTGAGGGCGATCTTCTTGCGGTGGTTCCGGCAGCGGGCGCAGTTGGGCGGCGTCCTCGGCGAGGCCGACGTGCTCGACGCGTTCACGTCCATCTTGCTGTCGTATTCCTGCGAGTCGGACATCCTAACACCGACCGTCCATGCCAGACGCACAGTTCACTGCACTACACCGGGCACCGGGTGGATGACGGGCGCAACAGGTTAGAAGGCTTGTCCGAGAAGAGGTTAGCCGTGTGCACGTCTCCGTCGGTTGTCGCGAGGGGAACTGTCAGTCGTGCATCGGTCATAGGAGTGAGTTGCATTGGAAGTGCATCGCGGCGGGGTAAAGGGGTACGACGCGGTTTACGAGCGGCCGCCGAGTGGGGAGATGCATGTGCGGACTGCAGTTTAGAGCCGTGTTTAATGCGGTAATAACGTCGGGAAGCGAGTTCTGATGGCCGGGTCTAGAGGAGCGGAGATTCCCAAAACGCCGCAGGAAGCGACTTCGCGTTTAGGATTCAAATTTGGGCTACGGCCTAGCAGAAAGCTATTACAGCGTTTCTAGAGATTTTCACTTGTGTTACTTTACATATTTTTACCTCGTATGTCTATCTTACGTTCCCTGATAGTACAGTCATTGAGGTTTTTCACCTCCGAATTCTTTGAAACTGAACCGATCGACTTGAAATTTAGCAGATAGTTAGAGAAAAGGTCAATGAACATTAATGACATAGCGCCGATTGACGCTTCCACCCTGTTGGGGGTTGACCACCCTCTCCTCGAGGGTGAAATTTTTATTTTCAAAAATTACGTTGGAAATCGATAGAGAATCAAATTTTGAGCAAAAAATATTCGAAGAATTTTTTCGAAAAATCAATAGTTTTTTAGTTATTCACGATTGAAAACTTGGAATTTTGGGTGAAAAAAACACTTTTTCAAAGTATTTTTCGCGAATAACTCAAAAATTACGCATTTCATTTAAAAGAGTGTAATCAACAAAAATGTAGCTTATAAATAAACAAAGAAAATCGTTTTTTAAAAAGTGTTGTACGTCCTATACAAAGCGAAATATGGTTAGTAGAAAGGGACTTGTTTTGGGTGAAATACTCGAATCGATCTACGTCAAATAACGGAAAAAGGATTAATTTTACGTGTATAACGCTCCTGGAGTTTTTTGTAGTACTCAAAAAGACCTTCAAAATGAGCACTTACAAAAGTTAATTAGAGCAAAACTGAAGGAGTTATCGTCAAAACCAGATGAGCAGTAAACGCTGTAGCATTTCCATCAGAATTAAAATTAAACGTAGACCCTTTACAATTAGTTCTGTTTTAGTGTTTTTCATACGATCCTGAAGTTAGACCGGTTTAGAATGCGTATTTTTTGAATAATATATGGTAAAAGTTGAAAACGTATTTTTCATTATGCAAAAAAAATTGCCTCATTTATATAATAACTCTGAAACTATGAAAAATACTTAAAAAATGATAGACAACAAAAATGTAGTTTTTTTTTTTTCAACAAATATTTTTCTTTTTTTTATTCCTATAGCATAAAGGAGATATCGCCGCTTGAAGTATCCATTTTAGTGAAAAAACGACCTATCTCGAGCCCTTAGATCCTTTCCCTTCAAAAAACGAAGGACTTAAAAGGTTTTATATATGCAAACGATCTTACAGCTCTTGAAATTATTTTTAAAATGCTTTTTTGTAGGATACTATAGATTCAAAATTATCCGAGTTATGGTAGAAAAACCAATGACATTTTTTCGGATCAAAATAGGCTTTCTCATTTTTATATATTACATAGGTATTATATTATACAAATAAAATAAGTAAAATAATTTACTGTGATTATTTATATGCAGCGTTGCAATTTTTTTATGATTGATTATATTTAAAAATCGATTATAATAAAAATATTTTACAATAATTTTGGTAAACGGGTAGTTTATAAGAGTTGGAAATGGTAAAAGTAAAATATGCTTTCATAAACAAATTAAGGAAATTTTTATTTTACATTATTGCACAATTATAGCATTCCAAGATTTAAAACGTAATTTTTTTATCATTTTTTAGCACAGGGGTGATTTATTAGAGTTGAAAAGTGTTATGAGATACAAATTATTTCATAAGCAGTTAGGGAATTTTTATTTTAAGTAATTGCACCGTTAAAACATTCCAAGCTTTTAAAAAGAATTTTTTTATCATTTTTGTCAATACAGGGGTGGTTTTTAGGGGTTGAAAGGGAAAAATTATTTAATTAGCTATAAGGTAACTTTTATTTGAAATAATTGCACGATTTAATAATTCCAAATCTTTAAAAAGTAATTAAGTAGTTTTTAAGGGTTAAATAAAGGGTCGAAAAGATCAAATATATCATAAAATATGTTCGAGAACATGGAACATTATTTAATCTTTGTGCTTGAACAAGATTTTTATCAATAAAATGGTAAAAACTTAAATTTTTCTTAGGGGTAGTTTTTACCCCTAAAAAACAAAAAGCGTCAATCGGGCTTATGTCACTTTTGAACTTGAGCCTAAGATGAGCCTTATTTTAAATTTTCATGCAAATCCATGCAGTTTCAAAGAATTCGGAGGTTAGGTACAGCTGATTTTCAGCTTCAATGACTGTACTATGAATTTTTCACGGATGATAAACATACAAATTCACATACGGTAGTATAAACATAATCACACCCCGACGAATGCATGTAGGAAACAATTACCACATGCATTAATCACAATTATTGAGTATCTTTACAAATTTGCTCGACAAAAAAGGAAAGGTACATTTTCTGATGTTTACATGTTCTCCGTGATCTTTCAATGCGAAAAATAAAGGAAATTATTCTAGATTAGCTTTACGTTTCGTTAGTTCTTAGATGGATATACTTATTCTATCATTGTCTTATTAAAAATGATATTTCTTGTCCATAAAACATTAGTCTTAAATAATAAATTGCCAAAATTGCAATAACTGACACACAGACTTACGTTAAAAATAATTTTTTAATATTATCTAAATACAGTGGCATAAAAATATCAATGCCGTCTTGCACACTTGAATAATTGCAGAACACTATATACAGGGTGTTCCCAAAAACACTGACATAAATTTAGGGCCTGATAGAATTTCAAAAAATATTACAATTTGTTCCTATGAACCGTTTTCAAGATACAGAGGGTTGAAAATAATTTTTTAGAATCTAGTTTCGGTCCTGTCTCCCACAAAATTCGACCGAATTAACGAATTATTGTTATGTGGGGTTTCTGGGGATGCTAAATGCTCTGGAGTTATTAATTTTTGGCTATATCATTCTAAATTATTGTTTTTTATTTGATAAACTAGCTGCTTGACTTTGGCGCACTATGCCTGGTATTTCTGGAAAACGGGCAAATTTTAGCACTTCTTATAAGAGCACCTTTTTTATTTTGAATAAAATTTGCCATAACAGCAAGTGATAAAAAGGGCAAAAAGATTAATCTCAAAAAAGTTAGGACCTAAAATGTTTCCGCGGAGTACTGCACTGAACACCCCGTATGTATTGCCAAAAATTAATTACTCCAGAACATTAAGCATCCCCAGAAACCCCAGATAACAAAATTTAAGTTCATTTGGTCGAATTTTGTGGAAAATAGGACCGAAACTAGATTCTAAAAAATTATTTTGAACGTCCTGTATCTTGAAAACGGTTCATAAGAACAAATTGTAATATTTCTTGAAATTCTGTCAGGCCCTGAATTTATGTCTCTGTTTATAAGAATACCCTGTATAAAGTGGTGAAGCATATTAGTTTTAGCAACCTCTAAAGAAATTATTTCCTGCAATGCAGGCATCATCTTAATCTACTAAAAATTAAAAACAACATATTCATGTCAAGCTTCCCCACATACTTTATTACCTCGGGCGACGTTTGTAGAATATGTGGCGGGCAGATTAATTTATTTTTGAAAGGACGTGACTGTGCAGTCTGTAGAATTTCTTAATTAATTATTCATATTAATAGCATTTCCACTGCAACAATGAGATTGAGGTGATCGAGATTGCATTAAATTGTGGTTAAGGCTTATTGACACTGAAAAATGCCAATCATTTTATCGTAAGAACTTTTCTGAACAGAGAAAAATAAAAGTTAAGATTAATGGGAATTTATAAGTAGCCAGTCACAAACGTCTACACACAGGGTGTCCCACTTAAAAGGGTTTTAAAGTTTTCAGGGCCATGCTATTAAATAAGTTTGTTTCTGAGTCAGATAGAGCTTCGCGGGATTGAAAAATAATGCATTCTGCTAGAAGGAATCATAATAAGAACTGCGAAACATTTGGAAGCACTGGGTGCGACCAATCATAGACACTACTGTGGAAGCTCTTACAGGACCACGGTTGTTAGAACCCACAACAAGAAATGCTCGTCAGGCCGGGCCTAAGGGTTTTCATAGCAAGTACGTCCCTACAGAGCCTAGCCCGAGAACAGCAATGATAGGTCAAAGATTACTAGCTAAAGGAAGTTCAATGTACATTAGGAGCTGACGGTAACTTACCGGAAAACCATGTATTTAAAAGTATTTATTTTTCGTAGCTCTTTTAATCAATCAATAATATGTATAAAAATATAGTTTCATAGAAAGGTTGTACCAGACCAATTTCTTATCATTTTTTAAATTATTTTCCATTATATACGGTGACGCATTTCTCTTGGATGTTATTTAATTTCATTTTTTTATAAGGAACACCCTCTAGAGAAATTAATAAGATGCTATACGGGGTGTGCCATTTAACACTCCCGCTGCCAATATCTCCGAAATTATATTTATTTTAATTCCAAAAACTAGGGTTTTTAGGTCTAGTTTTTTCCGAAGTCAGTTGAACATGTAAAAAAACGCCTGGCAATAAAATTTAATGAGTTTCATAGGCGTCCCTAAAAAAGTTTTCTGCTAAAGGTAAAAACTTATAATAATTTTTATTTAATGTGTAGAAAATTTCTATTATATGTTCATTTGGTCAACAACATATTTTAATTATTTATGTCATCAAAGAATTTTATTATATTGCAGGTAAATTTCGTTTTGTTCCGTTTCAAAAGGTCTCTAAAATGCCATGTTGTGATAATATTGGTAAACAAAATATCCTTCTTATTTCTCCCTTTCGCAATTGTAGTATGAATGATTAATAGAAGGTGCCTATAATAAATTAAAATTACCTGAATCAAACCAAATTCCGCATTGCTGCACTGCACTGCTGGGCAATTTGTCAACCACTTGTCAACAGCTGAGATTTATTGCCCAGTGGCCCAAAGCAGCTGTGTTTGTTTTCCTTTGCCCGCGCTCGCATTCTTCAACTGGGCGTATACATTTCTACCACAT